AGCCTCCCTGCAGACCAGTGGAGGAAGGCGGGCTCAGTGAGCTGTGAGGCCAGTCTGAATGGACAGAGCCCTGTCACTCAAAGCCTGGACCCTGACCGCTGCTCAGAGTAGAGAAACAACAGAGTCTCTGCTCAGTCAAATTCTGCTTTTACAAACAAATCCAACCTGCTGTAATTAACATGTGATCTGCTGCCATTCTGCTTTCAAGTGACTTCATGTCTTTATTTAAACATTTATACATTGTTACAGTCACATGCAGTCGTCTTTGAGGTTTTGAAACAGAAATAAATATTTCATGCACTTATGTCTGGTGGTCCTTTTTTGTTGTTTCATTTCTTAAGTGTGGATGAAGATAAAATGAATCATTGCTGGGTTTGGTTAAATATCTGCTGCTGCTTCTTTCATTGAGGAACAAAAACGACATTGAAACCTTTTGCTGGGGAAAAGTATAGAAATCTATAAGTAAAATCTTACTTAATCTTAAAGTAAAACATGCACTGAAATAATAGAAAAAAAGCATCAGCACTTTAATTCAAAGAAATAAAGAACATGATTGTCAAGAAAATCACAGCAGCATAAGATTTGTAGTCGTAGTTATGTTTGGCTGACTGACTTCAACATCACTGTTAAGAACATGAGTCAGAAATATTCTACTGAGAAAGGTTAGACAGGTATAGTGTTATAATATTAAAGCTGTACAGCAAAGAAATGACCAAGTTATCCTGGTAATATGATAATATAATAATCATTTTGTATATTACAAACTCTTCATACATGAGGACTGTCCAAATGAGTCCTTTTTACTGTGTTTGGTTGATTCATGTTTGAATTTGTAAAGAGCTGGAAGAACAGCAACCAAGCCCCTGAGTACCAACATTTCTGTCAGGATTACAGCAGCAGCTGGTGAAATCATAACAAGAACTGGGAAAAGTTTATGAGATAGAGTTAACAGGAATATTCAGGAGCTTGTTAGTTTGGGCCCAACGCCCAAAAATAGCATGTAGCTCCTCTGAACACGATGACCTGAGAATCAAAAGCAAAATCCTTTGGGCCGAGAAATTAGAACAAAGTTGTCACTGGCTTTGGGGTAAATGGTTTCAGATGAAAACTGTTATTTAAAAAATCATGATGTTGTGAATTTGGGCAAAAACACCTTGTTGCAACCGAAGTCTTGATTGTTCTGAACCAAGTTTAGTGTGATAACACAGCAACGACATGCTTGGTGAGGTTACTGTCAGCTCTGTGTTCAGTGGTCTGTGTCAGAGTCTCTTCCTCTTCAGCAGCTGCAGTCGCTTCCTGCTGTAACAGCTCAGTGTCTCTGCAGTCTGACTGAGGGAGGTTTTTGTACCACCATAAATCACTGTGTGAACACATCACCACTGTGGTAACTCTGACAGTAATAAACTGCTGCATCTTCAGTCTGAACTCCACTGATGGTCAAAGTGAAGTCAGAGCTGCTTCCACTGCCACTAAACCGAGCTGGTGTTCCTGATTCACGTGTGCTCACCAATTTTATTAGGAGCTTTGGAGGCTGTCCAGATTTCTGTTGATACCAGAACATAAAATCTCCAAGATAAGAGAGTCTGTAAACAGCTTGGCTGGTCTTACAGGTGAGAGTGACAGTGGATCCTGGAGCAGATGTCACCAGTGGAGGCTGAGTCACAGTCACCTGAGCGCTGCATCCTGCAGACAAAAACAAATCATTCATTTATCAGCAGAAATCAATGAGAGAAAAGGCAGCACATCATGTTTGAAATGTTGCTGAGTGAATGAACCTGTGAAACAGCAGCAGGCCAGCGTCCAGATGAGGATGGTGATGAGAGTCATGGTGCTTGTGCTTTCTGCTGTGTTGACTGACACATCTGAGTCCTGCAGTGTTGAACTCACAGGACTATAAACCTTCTCACTTCACTGGAGGATCAGCTGACCATGCAAAGCCTCCTCTCTATGGAAATCATTTCTCTGCTCTCAACACACTCAAGGCAACGTGGGACACAAAATCAGGAGGAATACTGCTTGGATTTACACCATCTATCATCTTAATGGAAAAGAAGAAAAGATTTATATTACAAGTGCAGTTGAGGATTTAAGGACAAGTTTGTGTTCACTGTGCTTGGTATGATATGTCTGTTTGTCTGCCTTTCATTTACTCACAGGGTTTAATGGAGATAAATTATATGTTTATATTCATTTTAATATTAGTTTGAAATCATTATTATTTAAAATGCATCATGGGTATTTGACCATGTATTAACTGATATAAAACTGTGAAGAAAAATGACTTTTTTTACAAACAGACTGTAATCATTTCTCTGTCAGGTGTAGAAAAGTAAAGAAAAACTCAAGAAATAATCTTTATTTATACAATATTTTCATTCCATGTCATTAAAGAAGCTTTATAGATTCAGTAAAGTTTAATTTTCTCTCTGTAATTATAAAAATCAGAGAGTATTTTCAGTGGATAGATGCTTGTTCACAGTGCAGGAGGTTTTTGTACGGCCACTTAATGAGTTTGTATCACTGTGGTACACTTTTGGTGGAGGAACCAAACTCGTCGTTGACTGTAAGTACCAGAGATTTTATTTCATTTAATTCAATATATAGCCGATAGAACTATTTTCAAGTATTGAATGAGACTCTGATCAAATTCAGTGTTTGTATGTTGATATTTTTTTTTGTAATTTGATCAATCTGATGAGAAATTGTAGAAACCAAAATTATCTCAGCATTTTCTTTAATCACATTTAAAAAGAAATACCATGAAATGACAATTTTCTAATTTTTTTCAGTAATATTGAATTTATTGTCTCTTAAAAAATGTTTAAAAGTAACAGTTGTTCAAGTCAGACCTTGAACCCTCAAAAAATAAAATTACTTTTTTTATTCATTAATTTGGAAATTACATTTATAAAAAATGAATTATAATCTGATGTGGATTCTGTTAAACACAAAGATGTTTTTCTCAGTAAATGCAGTTTATCTTTGTGTTCACGGTTCATTCATTTTCCATGTAGTGAAAAGGAAGTGAAAGAGACAGATGACAAAGGTTTTAACTGTATTCACATGAGTGTTTCAGCTCTGTCAGTTTCAACAGAAGAAAATCATCACAGGGACGAGTTATTCACTGTCACACATTATGAAACACATATGAAGATGTCATCAATAATCATTATCAATCAAGCTTTTTAGTCTCACTTGAATCATGTGGCTGATGGTCTGATACTGAGTGATTTATGAGTGCAACAGCAGCACAAGTTATTCTGTTTGATTTGATCAAATGTAAGAAATGAGCAGGATGTGATTTTTCTTTATTACCAAGCCTTCACTCTCATTCCTTTGTCTTTTCTCCCCCCTCTCCTCCCCCCTCTCTGTCTCCTCCAGTGGGTGTGGTGCGGCCCACCCTGACCGTCCTCCCCCCCTCCAGAGAGGAGCTGCAGCAGGACAGTGCCACACTGGTGTGTGTGGCCAGCGGGGGCTTCCCCTCAGCCTGGAGGCTGGGCTGGAAGGTGGGGGGCTGCAGCAGCTCCTCAGGGGTGTCACACAGCCTGGAGGTCCTGGGGAGGGACGGCCACTACAGCTGGAGCAGCACCCTGAGCCTCCCTGCAGACCAGTGGAGGAAGGCGGGCTCAGTGAGCTGTGAGGCCAGTCTGAATGGACAGAGCCCTGTCACTCAAAGCCTGGACCCTGACCGCTGCTCAGAGTAGAGAAACAACAGAGTCTCTGCTCAGTCAAATTCTGCTTTTACAAACAAATCCAACCTGCTGTAATTAACATGTGATCTGCTGCCATTCTGCTTTCATGTGACTTCATGTCTTTATTTGAACATTTATACATTGTTACAGTCACATGCTGTCGTCTTTGAGGTTTTGAAACAGAAATAAATATTTCATGCACTTATGTCTGGTGGTCCTTTTTTGTTCTTTCATTTCTTAAGTGTGGATGAAGTTAAAATGAATCATTGCTGGGTTTGGTTAAATATCTGCTGCTGCTTCTTTCATGGAGGAACAAAAACTGCATTGAAACCTTTTGCTGGGGAAAAGTATAGAAATCTATTATTAAAGTAAAACATGCACTGAAATAATAGAAAAAAAGCATCAACACTTTAATTTAAAGAAATAAAGAACATTATTATCAAGAAAATCACAGCAGCATAAGATTTGTAGTCGTAGTTATGTTTGGCTGACTGACTTCAACATCACTGTTAAGAACATGAGTCAGAAATATTCTACTGAGAAAGGTTAGACAGGTATAGTGTTATAATATTAAAGCTGTACAGCAAAGAAATGACCAAGTTATCCTGGTAATATGATAATATAATAATCATTTTGTATATTACAAACTCTTCATACATGAGGACTGTCCAAATGAGTCCTTTTTACTGTGTTTGGTTGATTCATGTTTGAATTTGTAAAGAGCTGGAAGAACAGCAACCAAGCCCCTGAGTACCAACATTTCTGTCAGGATTACAGCAGCAGCTGGTGAAATCATAACAAGAACTGGGAAAAGTTTATGAGATAGAGTTAACAGGAATATTCAGGAGCTTGTTAGTTTGGGCCCAACGCCCAAAAATAGCATGTAGCTCCTCTGAACACGATGACCTGAGAATCAAAAGCAAAATCCTTTGGGCCGAGAAATTAGAACAAAGTTGTCACTGGCTTTGGGGTAAATGGTTTCAGATGAAAACTGTTATTTAAAAAATCATGATATTGTGAATTTGGGCAAAAACACCCTGTTGCAACCGAAGGCTTGATCGTTCTGAACCAAGTTTAGTGTGATAACACAGCAACAACATGCTTGGTGAGGTTACTGTCAGCTCTGTGTTCAGTAGTCTGTGTCAGAGTCTCTTCCTCTTCAGCAGCTGCAGTCGGTTCCTGCTGTAACAGCTCAGTGTCTCTGCAGTCTGACTGAGGGAGGTTTTTGTACCACCATAAATCACTGTGTGAACACCCAAGCACTGTTGATGTAGTGTGCACTCTGACAGTAATAAACTGCTGCATCTTCAGTCTGAACTCCACTGATGGTCAAAGTGAAGTCAGAGCTGCTTCCACTGCCACTAAACCGAGCTGGTGTTCCTGATACACGTGTGCTCACATGTTTAATTAGGAGCTTTGGAGTCTGTCCAGATTTGTGTTGATACCAGAACATATAATCTCCAAGACTAGAGTGTCTGTATACAGCTCGACTGGTCTTACAGGTGAGAGTGACAGTGGATCCTGGAGCAGATGTCACCACTGGAGGCTGAGTCACAGTCACCTGAGCGCTGCATCCTGCAGACAAAAACAAATCATTCATTTATCAGCAGAAATCAATGAGAGAAAAGGCAGCACATCATGTTTGAAATGTTGCTGAGTGAATGAACCTGTGAAACAGCAGCAGGCCAGCGTCCAGATGAGGATGGTGATGAGAGTCATGGTGCTTGTGCTTTCTGCTGTGTTGACTGACACATCTGAGTCCTGCAGTGTTGAACTCACAGGACTATAAACCTTCTCACTTCACTGGAGGATCAGCTGACCATGCAAAGCCTCCTCTCTATGGAAATCATTTCTCTGCTCTCAACACACTCAAGGCAACGTGGGACACAAAATCAGGAGGAATACTGCTTGGATTTACACCATCTATCATCTTAATGGAAAAGAAGAAAAGATTTATATTACAAGTGCAGTTGAGGATTTAAGGACAAGTTTGTGTTCACTGTGCTTGGTATGATATGTCTGTTTGTCTGCCTTTCATTTACTCACAGGGTTTAATGGAGATAAATTATATGTTTATATTCATTTTAATATTAGTTTGAAATCATTATTATTTAAAATGCATCATGGGTATTTGACCATGTATTAACTGATATAAAACTGTGAAGAAAAATGACTTTTTTTACAAACAGACTGTAATCATTTCTCTGTCAGGTGTAGAAAAGTAAAGAAAAACTCAAGAAATAATCTTTATTTATACAATATTTTCATTCCATGTCATAAAAAAAGCTTTATAGATTCAATAAAAATAAATTATATCTATGTAATTATAAAAATAAGAGAGTATTTTCAGTGGATAGATGCTTGTTCACAGTGCAGGAGGTTTTTGTACGGCCACTTAATGAGTTTGTATCACTGTGGTGGACTTTTGGTGGAGGAACCAAACTCGTCATTGACTGTAAGTACCAGAGATTTTTATTTCATAAAATATATAACAAATACAACTTTAATCAGAAATTTAACGAGACTCTGATAAAATTCAGAGTTTGATTGTTGTTTTTTTGTAATTTTATGAAGCTGATCTCACAATCAGAGAAGAAACTTCAAATAAATAAATATTAACTCAGTATTGCAAAAAGTTGCATTTTAATTAACACAAAATAAGTCAGCTATTTTTTATATATATGTTTTTTTTCTTAGTAACATTGAATATTTCGCTAATGGAAAGAAAGTTAAAAAGCAATAGTCAAATCAGACCTTGAATGCTCAAAAATTACATTTGTGGTTACAATTTCTTCATTTATGTTAAAAATATCAAATAATTTATTGAATTAAAATCCGATGTTGATTCTGTTAAACACAGAGATGTTTTTCTCAGTAAATGCAGTTTATCTTTGTGTTCACGGTTCATTCATTTTCCATGTAGTGAAAAGGAAGTGAAAGAGACAGATGACAAAGGTTTTAACTGTATTCACATGAGTGTTTCAGCTCTGTCAGTTTCAACAGAAGAAAATCATCACAGGGACGAGTTATTCACTGTCACACATTATGAAACACATATGAAGATGTCATCAATAATCATTATCAATCAAGCTTTTTAGTCTCACTTGAATCATGTGGCTGATGGTCTGATACTGAGTGATTTATGAGTGCAACAGCAGCACAAGTTATTCTGTTTGATTTGATCAAATGTAAGAAATGAGCAGGATGTGATTTTTCTTTATTACCAAGCCTTCACTCTCATTCCTTTGTCTTTTCTCCCCCCTCTCCTCCCCCCTCTCTGTCTCCTCCAGTGGGTGTGGTGCGGCCCACCCTGACCGTCCTCCCCCCCTCCAGAGAGGAGCTGCAGCAGGACAGTGCCACACTGGTGTGTGTGGCCAGCGGGGGCTTCCCCTCAGCCTGGAGGCTGGGCTGGAAGGTGGGGGGCTGCAGCAGCTCCTCAGGGGTGTCACACAGCCTGGAGGTCCTGGGGAGGGACGGCCACTACAGCTGGAGCAGCACCCTGAGCCTCCCTGCAGACCAGTGGAGGAAGGCGGGCTCAGTGAGCTGTGAGGCCAGTCTGAATGGACAGAGCCCTGTCACTCAAAGCCTGGACCCTGACCGCTGCTCAGAGTAGAGCTTCAGCAACACTTCCTGTCTGGAAATGATGCTGCTTCTTTCATACACATCTTGATGAAGCTACACATCTCCTCTCTTCACATCTTTCTGCACTTTCACAGCTCTCTGCTCAGTGTTTTAGTCTGCATGTTGCTTTCTAATACTCATCTTCTGCATATTCTCTTTTTGCATATTCTTCATTACTTTTCAACTTCAACTGAATGTTATTAGTTTCACTCCAACACAAACTATTCATTCATCACAAATGTGGCATGAACATTAAACCATCATTAAATAAAACTGTGGATTATAATGAGTCAGTG